TTCTTCTTCTTCTTCTTCTTCTTCTTCTTCTTCTTCTTCTTTTCTTCAGACAGGATCTTTGCAGTCTAGGCTAGCCTCAGACTCATTAAGGCTGACCTTGAATTCCAGATCCTTTTGCCTGCCTCCACATTCCAAATGCTGGGCTTGAGCTACCATGATTAGCCCTAAAACTCTTGTACACCCACTGACTGCTAGAGAAGGAACCCAGGATCTTGTGCATGCTAGGTAAGTGCTCAGCCACCAAGCCCTAAAAGTAAATTTCAAACTCTTTTTAGACCTGTGAAAATGAAAACCACACTCCTCCCCTTAAGGCCGTTAAGATGGAAAAGATTAAGTGTCTCTGAACTGTCCTTACTCTAAGTAACCTAAACGTGGTCACAGTAAGTGACCTGGAGGACCCACCCAGGAGCCAGCTGAGAAATCAGAGAGGGGCACTGTTCATCTTTTGACTTCTTTATCCAGCAAATGTCTGTTGGTGGTTTGTGTGAGCCTCCCTCCCCCACAGGGTACAATGGTGGACTGAGCTCTTCTGATGCTAATCTCCTAATGACTGACCAATAAGTAATGACTAACAAATAATACCAGGAATGAAAAATGTCATAGAAAAGAATGTTCCTAGCAGGAAGAACGGTCAGACAGACGCTGCCAAAGCTCTTTGGTGGGAGTGAGGTTGTTGTGTGGTCCCAGGAGAGAGGCCAGACTTCTGTGATAGAAAGCAGGGGCAACTCTGTCTCTCATCTTATAACTGCTTCCCCCCTCCCAATAACCTGGACCTGTCCCCAGAGTAAGACTAAAGGGCCGGTCAGGCAAGGAGCAGCCTGGCTCTAAAAGGATATTGCATTTTCCTTGGAATAATTCTGATTTGGTGCCAGTGAATTCTGATTTCTGCCTTTTGGTAGCGTGTGATTTGGCTTCTGTCTCGTGATGCAGCCGGAATTACTTTTGACATTTATTTTATTCCTTGTGTGTGTGTGCGGACTGTGTATAGTCCGGCACACGAACGCGAGTGCCTGCAGAGGCCAGAGAGGGTGTCAAATGTCCTGGAGATGCAGGCAATTAGGAGCTGCCTGACATGTGAGGTGGCTCTGGAATAGCAGTGCGTGCTCTCAACAGTTCCCAGTCAGAATTATCGGGCCCTTACCCGGACCGTATCAGGAGTAATTGGCGGGACACAGGTGCAAGTTTCAAGGTGTGAACTGGAGACCAGCAAGCTGATGGCTGCCTAAAGTCAGCAGTCACACCTGGGATTGTGCAAATGCTTCTTGTGCTGTGAAGCGGCACTCCTACGTTTTCAGTGGTTTACTACGCCTACCAAGAGATGCAAATGACATCGCTAACATAAAAAGGCTCATATAGTTTTTAAACATTTTTGTTTGTTTGTTTGAGACAGGGTTTCTCTGTGTAACTTTGGAGCCTGTCCTAGAACTTGCTCTGTAGACCAGGCTGGACTCGAACTCACAGAGAGTCACTTGTCTCCACCTCCCAGAGTGCTGGGACTAAAGGCGTGTGTCACCAACGCCCGGCTAAACATTTTTATTTTTTACTAGTGTTAGGTACCTGTGTGTGAATGTATGTGTGTACAGGGTACGCATGGCACAGAGCAAATGTGCCAGAAGACAGTTCTCTCTCTCTCTCTCTCTCTCTCTCTCTCTCTCTCTCTTTAAGACAAGTTCTGTGTAACCCTGACTGTCCTGGAATTCATGTAGGCCAGTCTGGGTTCGAACTCACAGAGATCTGCCTGCCTCTGTTTCCCAAGCGCTGGGATTAAAGGATTAAAGCCTGTGCCCCCACACCCAGCCAGAGGCCAGCTTTCAGGAGTCACGCTCCCTTTCTCCCGCAGCCTCCAGGGCTAGCATCAGCTCGTCAGGTTTCAAAGGCGAGCGCTTCTACCTGCAGAAACATCTCCCCGCTCCTCTTCTACTTTTTATTCCAAGATCACTTCTCCCCCATTTCTGCGAAGTAAACATTCAGCAGATATTTCAATAACAGTGGCTTGAAAGGCTGCCAACTTAGGAATGTGCCTAGGGTGGCACAAGCCTAGTTGTTTTTTACCTAGCAGCTCAGACTCATTGTTAACAACTCCTCAGCCAGTTAGGGATCTGAGCTGCCAGTGGGCTTATGATATTGGGTACAGGCTTGGCTGTGCCCACAGGTGGCCTTCATTGCTATGCCTTGGCTTCCTTGGTTTGTTTGAGAGGCTGACATGACCCCGACTCTTGAGACAGGACTGAAGAATTTCACTGGCCTGTCGCTGGGATTGTGACACCAAATGCCGTAAGCACAGCCTGTAGGTAGGGTAGGAGAGCTAGGAAACAGAATGAAGGAGAGGCAGGGAGGGGCTCAGGAGGGCACTTAACATTGCAGGCTGCACTGAAGAGATTGGCAAGCTAGGGCAACGAGGAAGACCAGGGGCTGATGTGGGGAGGAGGAGCCCAACAGAGGAGAGGAGAGGATGCCTAGGTGCCAGCAGGCTCGGAGGTTCTCTGAGTCTGACCAGGCAGCCTCAGCTCCAGCCCGTCCTCTGGCCCCTCCCCACTGCCGGCCAGAGTCGCACATGTGTTTTCCTGTTTTCCATTTCGGTCCGTCACCCTCTGCCTTTTCTGCTTCTCAGAGTCAGCAGCTGCTGAAATCACACCCCTGATTCTCTTAACTGCACCCCTCACCCCAGTGTGCTGATAGCCCCCTCCTCCCTGCACTTGCTCAAAGGTCTCCAGACAGGTAAGAGGCGGGGAAGCAGGGAAAGTGAATGTGTGGGGGAAGCCCAGGAGGAGGATGGACTACCTGAACATTGCCCAAGGAGAGACTTATACTTATTTCTTGGCCCCAGCCCTGGCCCTGTCGAGGTAAAGCCTGTCGAGAGACTTCAGCTTTTGGTTACTGGGAAGTCCTGGGCAGAACAGTAAACAGTTTCTTTATTTAATTCTTTTTTTTTTTTTTTTAAAGGGACGGTCTTAGTTAAGTGGGATACAGAAAAACAAATGGAGATCTGGAGAGGGAGGGGCTGAGCAGCTATTGTGGAGTGATGAGGACTCTAACAGCAGCAGCCTGTATCTGTTTTGTTTCTGTTGTTAAGGGAGGCCCAGGGATGAACCCGTTGGCTAGCAGAAGGCAAGCCCTGGGGTCTCAGGCAGAAAGTGTGTTCTTATCGTAGCTCATAGAGAGTGGTGGTTGAGGAGTCAAGACTCTGAACTGTGAGCAGGTTCCTGGAGGAAGAGGAGGAGTGTTTTAGTGCTGCTGTTGGAGCGGGGAGCATGGTCGTTCAATACTGGCTGGCTGCTCTGGGAGGCACTCCATGCCCAGTATCCACTTGCGAATGAAAACTCCTCTAGGCTATAGAATGAGCGTGTTTTTTTCTGATAGCCATGATGTCCTCAGAGATGAGCACACCAAGGGACGGGGAAGATGACAAGGGGTTTGAAGGTTTCTGGGAAACCTGCTTTGGCTGAGCTCCTACAAGGAGAGCCTCGGGGAACGCTGCTTTACCAGGCTGCCCGAATGGGGCAAGCATTACTCTGAGAGCCAGGGTCTCAGGGAGGAATGTGAGCTGCCAGCCCTGCCGACTTCTTTGGTGTTAGGCAGTGGTTGAGAAAAGCAGGGACGTTTCCAGGAATGGCAGCCTTCTGTGCCTGCCTGACTGGCAGGCTGGGAAGATGAATCCATTTGTAGTACTTCCTGGTGAGACCACTAGGGCATGCTGTTTGCTGGGGTGTGTGGGTTCTGTCCCGGGCTGACCTGGCTCAGCTCCTTGAGGATTTCACTTTGATGCCAGCCATGAACTCAGTCTTGTGCACTGCCCCCCACATACGTACACTTCCTTTTCTCCTTTCTTCTTTTCTGAATTCATCATCACTATTACTATTACAATTACTATTATTATTATCATCATCATCATAGATTTGGGTTTATACTCCATTGGTGCCAGTGCATTTTGATCCTAAAAGGATGTGTGTTTCTCTGTGTTTGTAGTAGTGGGCACCCTAGATGTCACATCACTCCCTAAATGTTCAAGACAGGAGCAGCTGAAGGCAATGACAGTGCTTTCCCCCACACTGCCGCCTGAGACCGCAGGGGCTTTCTTTTCAATCTGATCCCAGATTTCTCTAGGTAACTCATTAGGGAACCACCTGGAGTGGTTTCCTGCGACCGGCGACCTGCAGGGGCCAAGAGCTGGAAGCTGAGAAGATAGCACAGCTCTGTGATCTTTGCTGCCTCCCCTCTGCTTTGGCACCCCACAGAGTGTATGATCCCTGCCTCATGGGGGTGCCTACAGTTCAGTGAGACGATGCACTGAAATACGCAAGCCGCATGTCTGATCTGGACACGAACTCAAGCAATGCTAACACGGTTTTTCTGGAAAACATAAAAAGCATTGAGGGATGCTGGGAGAAAAGGAGAGTGTCTTCTGGGTGAATTTCAGACATATGTGGGGCTGTCTTGTGAGAAACATGAGAAATATTTTTAATTTTATTTTTACATATGTGGGTGTTTTGATTGCATATGTCTGGTACCATGTGTGCGCAGTGCTCACAGAGTCCAGAAGAAGGCATCAGAGCTGGAACTGAGTTGCGAGCCACCGTATGGGTGCTGGGAACTGAAGACTGGTTTTCTCAAGAAGGACCAAGGGCTCTTAGCTGCTGAGCCATCTCTCCATCCTCCAGCATGGTCTGTGGAAGGCCTATGCTCAGCATTCCCTCTTGGTTTATCTAAAAATTTTAACAGGCCAGAATGGGAAGGTGAACCGTGGAGATTAACTTTCAGAATATTTTTGTAGAATAATCAAAAAGGGATAGGAGGATAGAAGAAGGGACAGACAGTTCGGTGTCAAAAAAGACTCAATACCACATTTAAAGTAGATTCTAAAGACAGAATAAACCGTGATCTTCAAAATGCGGAACCTTATTTGCACACTTGTGTGTGTGAGTAGGTTAGCACTCTACCACTGGCGACACCCAGCCCTCTGTAGATATGTATACGCTTATTGATTCATTTATTGTTTGTTATTATTATTGAGACAGGGTTTCCCTGCATAGCCTCGATTGTCCTGAAACTCACTCTGTAGACCAGGCGTCCCTTGAACTCAGAGATTTGCCTCCCAAGTGTTGGGATTAAAGGCATGCACCATCACTGCCCCTCATAGAAATTTTTGGATGTTCCAGAGGTCTTAGTATGTTTCCCTAAGGACGAAAGAGCTCACTGGTGGGATGGAGTTGTACCCAGAAGTTTGATCTCATTTCTGAATCATATTTCCTTGGAAATAGCTTGAGACGCAAGCTGTCATCCAGGGTGATGGCTTGAGTTTAGAGGCTGTCGCCCTTCTCCCTGCATGGGGAAGTCTACAGAGCTCTCTCTTAGGACGCCCACACAGGGCGGCTGAGCCGCTCTCACACTTCCTGTAATCTCAGCATATGAACAATGGTCGCATTCTATAGCCCTTCCTGCCTATTTTGTTGGGTGGGACATGGAGGACCCGGAGTCTGTGCCACTGCTCTGCCCTTGCTAACTTGCTGGACACTCCAGGATTGTAGAGAACACACCCAGTTGGCTGTCCATTCCCTCTGGGCCTCCTGTCCTGGGGCAGAGCTGACAATGGAGACTCCTGAGCGAGCACCTTCTTATCACAGAAAGTGCTGAGCCAAGAGCTCCAAGCTGCCCCTTTCGCAGATGTGAAAGGCCTGTGAACCTTGGACCCAGAAGGTTGCTTAACACTCCTCTCCCTTTCCCTCACCCCTTCCTTTTCTAGCTCCCTCACCTCCTCCTCCCTTCTTGACCTGACTTAAATCCGGTAGGCATTTGTCTAGGCTTCCCTTTTACTGTTGGAGGAAGGAGGAGCAGGCCAGACCACTGTCCTTGGAGGGTGCGCGCCTCTTTGCCTGCTGCTGACAGCTGCTGTGGGAACCCACTTCTATCCAGAGCCAGGGAGTGAGTGTGCCCCACCCTGCCCCCTTGCTAACCCCTCTCTGCTGTTCTGCATGTCCCGTCACTTCCTCAAGCTCCAGAGCCTCTTGCTCTAGTGTTTCCCCATTTGTCTGACTAAGCTTTCCTAGTTTGTGCAGCTGTCTAGCTCTGTTTCCAGGCATCTGCTCCCCGGCCTTAGCTCTTTTCCTTGGTTTGGGCTGGTATGTCTCCAGCAGTTCTGTGGTGGGTGGGCGGCCACCACCCACTGCCTCTGGTCCCCTCTGGGTCCTGCTGTGTATTGGGGCCACTCTTCTGAAAGGTCATTCCTACTTTTTGGCTGGTGTGGATGTGAGCAATCTGGTGGCAGGAACCTGGGATGGTAGAGGCTGGGACAGGTATCTGGAAATGGAAAAGCAACATAAAGAGAATTGCCGTCTTTTTTCAGGATGGGTAGGGCTGCTTGGGCTTTGCCAACATCGAAGATGCCTGCTGACCATTTGCTAATGGATGTTCCCAAGTAGGGAGGTGGCTGCGCGTCCCTTTGAAAGCTTCAGACTCTCACAGGAGTCCTTAGGGGAGCAAGCAGCGTATCAGCAAAAAGAGGATCCAGCAAATTAGTCTCTTGCAGGGCTGGTTCCTCATGCAGGCGTCTGTCTCAGCATAGTGACATCTGAAACTGAAATCGGAGGGAAGATAGGCTTCTTTGGGAGTTGTGGGACGGGGGAGGCAGAAAAAGGTTCAAACCACTTTATGGTTATAGGGAGAGCTTCTCAACTGCCTCCTGCCTGGCCTGTGTCACAAGAGACTCGGGATTGCGAGACCGGGATGCTTTTCTTCTGGGGGAAAAGTCGAGTTGGGGTCATTTTGACAAGGTTTGAGGGAAGTCGGAAGTGAGAAAGGTCTCTGAATTGGTGGGTGCTGACCCTGTGGAGTGGGAGGGAGAGATGCTGTGTGGTTGCCAACCCTGCCTTCTTTCTTCCTTAGAGGGCAATGCAAGCAAGCTGGTGAAGGCCTTGCTCCTCTCCACCATGGTCGACAGTACCAAGTATGAAGTGGCTGCCCAGCATGAGGCAGATACCTCTGCTCTGGAAGATGGGGCCAGCCCAGTGGCCGAGCAGGTAAAACTGAAGAAGGAGATCTCACTACTTAATGGCGTGTCCCTGATAGTGGGGAACATGATTGGCTCCGGCATCTTTGTCTCCCCCAAGGGTGTACTCATGTACAGTGCCTCTTTTGGCCTCTCGTTGGTCATCTGGGCCGTTGGGGGCATTTTCTCCGTCTTTGGGGCCCTTTGTTATGCCGAACTGGGTACCACCATTAAGAAATCTGGGGCCAGTTATGCTTATATCCTGGAGGCCTTCGGAGGATTTCTTGCCTTCATCCGCCTCTGGACATCTCTGCTCATCATTGAACCCACCAGCCAGGCCGTCATTGCCATCACCTTTGCCAACTACATGGTGCAGCCCCTCTTCCCGAGCTGTGCTGCTCCCTACGCTGCTGCCCGCCTGCTGGCTGCTGCCTGTATCTGTAAGTAGAGATGGGACAGGAATGGGGATATGGAGAACTGGGAAGAAGTGGGGGTGTGAGCCCAATCAAGAAGAAGGAGTTGGGGAATGTGTGCCCATGACAATTATTTTAATTGTAAAAAATTAATGTATACTATGGGAGTCTGGCTTAATAAGCCCTCAAATGGAGACTCTGAATTGAACACCCAGTACTACCCCTAAAAAGTTTTGTGTGAAAATTCAGTTCATCTTAGTTTAAGGGTTGGTGAGGTAGCCCAGTCAATACAGAGGTTGCCTCGCATGCCTGTGGCTGTGGATTTGATCCCCAGCACTGTGTAAACTGTGTGTGGTGGAAACTGTAGCCCCACCAACTGGGAGGCCTATTGAGAGTCAGGAGTTCAAGGTCATTTCTTTCCAAGTTTGAGGCCAGCCTTGCAGACAAGAAACTCTGTCTCAAAAAACAAACAAACTGGTTGGGTATGATGGAGCATACCTTTAATTCCAGAAGGCAGCTAGATAGCTTTCTAAGGCCAGCTTGGTCTACACCGTGAAACCCTGTCTCAAGCAAGCAAGCAAATATTTTAATATAGTATTAAAAAGTAAAGGAAGAGCTGGGTGGTGGCGCACGCCTTTTATCCCAGCACTTGGAAAGCAGAGGCAGGCGGATCTCTTTGAATCCCAGGTCAACCTGGTCTACAGAGCTAGTTCCAGCACAGTCAGTCAAAGCCACACAAAGAAATCCTGTCTCAGAAACAAAACAAACCGGGGCTGGAGAGATGGCTCAGAGGTTAAGAGCGTTGCCTGCTCTTCCAAAGGTCCTGAGTTCAATTCCCAGTAACCACATGGTGGCTCACAACCATCTGAAATTGGGTCTGGTGCCCTCTTCTGACCTGCCGGCATACACACAGACAGAATATTGTATACATAATAAATAAATAAATAAATAAATAGATATTTAAAAAAAAAGAAACAAAACAAACCTCTTCAACAAAGCAAAACAACCTCCTCAACCCCCCTGACCCAAAACCCAATCAACCAATCAATCAACTAAGCAAGCAAGCAAACAAAAAACAAAAGAGAAGAAAGCAGCCCACCTCTCCTTTCCCGAATTCTGATTGCTTATCGCAATTGGCATGTTTTTATGTGCTCCTACTTGTCCTCCTTCAAGAACAGTTTTTTTTTCCTTTAATGAAGTAGGACAATACGATCGTACCTGTAATTCTTAGCCTTTATCAGATTACCTAGCTGCCGGTCCTGTTCTTGGCCTTGTACTCCAGTTCCAGTTTCTCGGATTTGCAGGTGGTCCTGGGTAATGGTGTACTGCAGTGGTTACCCGCTTAGTTTATGCCCTTTTCCTTCCTCTCCTCCTGCTCCTCTTTCTGAGACAGGGCCTTGCTGTGTAGCACACATTGACCTTGAACTCACGCCACTCAGTCTGACCTGGAACTTGGGATCTTCACGGGTTTAGGCCCGTGCCACTGTGCCTGCTTACTTGTATATTGGCACATAGCGGCTGTATGTGTTATGGGATACGTGTATGGCATCTTATGTTTTTGGCTATGAGCCTAATCTTTAAGGGCTGAGGCATCTCTCCAGCCCCAGTTGTGACATTGTAATCTGTGTGCACGGCATGGACGATCAGCCGGGTAGTGGCGTTTCTGCATCTCATCGCATGTCATCATGCTCAGCTACATTCAGCGAACCATTGTCAGCCGCGGGCTGACCGCTGTAGGACCTTAGAAGTTATTCGTCTTCTCCACTCTGCCCCGTGCTATCAGTCTTCCTACCCCTAGGTTCTGGGAATCCTCCTCCTCCTCTTATTTTTTTTCCACCAATGTTCTATTATCCTTTTTATTTTTATTTTTTAAAATTAAGACAGGGTCTCACTGTGTGACCTTTTCTGGCCTGGAACTTGCTGTGCAGACTAGGCTGGCCCCAAACCTGCGCCTGTCTCCCAAGTTTCATTTATGTTCCGAATTGCTCTAGCTATTAAACCTCCCCTGCCCTTCAAGAATTTTGTGTTTTAAACACAAAAGCTGTGTGCACAAGCAGAGCCCTGAGGGAGATGTCAGGTGTTCTGAGTTCTTCCCATCTACTGTACTCCACTGAGATGCACAGAGACAGGGTGACTTTCTGATGGCAGACACAGAAGCCCCGTGATGCTTCTGTGTCTGCCACCGACAGTGTGACCATGCCCAGATTTGTGTGTGTGTTCTGAGGGTTTGAACTCAGGTCTTTATTTCCCTACTGGTTGTGATTGTTTTTCTCCTGTGAGGAACGCCATTGTGTATTCTGCACTGACACTGTAGGTTGTTTGGGTAATACAGACATTTTAGCGCTGTTCTTCAGTCTGTGAACCTCTTTCTTTTTAAACAAGCTCCCTTAATGTAGCCCTATCTATCTGGGAACTCTTTGTGGACCAGGCTGGCCTCAAACTCTCAGAGATCAACTTGCCTTTGCGCTCAAATGCTAGAATCAATGGATCAAGACCCCACCATGCCCGGCTCCTCTTGTGTATGGTGTGTGTGTATTCTCTTTAGCTTTAAGTGTTGTTTTGTGACTTTTATTGTAGAAATCACTAATTTCCTTGTTTACATTTATTCCAGGGACCTTATTTGCGGCAGCTATTGTGAATGGGAATGGGTCTTGATTTGTCTTCCAACAATTTCAGTATTGGTGTATAAAAGAGCTAATTATTTTTAAAATGCTGGTTTTATATTTTGCAACCTTACCGAACTTGTCAGTTCCAACAGCTTTTGGCTGGAGTCCTGAGTTTTTCTCTGTGTGGCCTAGTGTCGTGTGCAAACAGCACAGTCTGACTTCCTCTACCCTGTTTCAGTGCTCCTCATTCCTTCACTTGCCTGACTTCTGTGGCCTTACTTCTCACTCTGCCCTCTGTAAGAGCCCGCAGGCATGGTGGTGCATGCCTGTAATCCCTCCCAGTCCTTGGTGTGCAAGATCAGGAGTTCAAAGTCGTCCATGTTTTCAAGATGAGGTCTGACTATGTAGTGGAGCCTGGCCTTAGTTTGCTTTGTGACCTAGGCTGCAAGCACTATAATACGTGTATCTATAGTGTGTGTGGTGTGTGTGTGTATGTGTGTGGTGTGTGTGTGTGGTGTGTGTGTGTGTGGTGTGTGTGTATGTGTGTGGTGTGTGTGGTGTGTGTGTGTGTATGTGTGTGGTGTATGTGTGTGTGTGTGTGTGTGGTGTGTGTGTGTGTGTGTGGTGTGTGTGTGTGGTGTGTGTGTGTGGTGTGTGTGGTGTGTGTGTGTGTTCACCTTCACATGTGAAGTGGGTGTGTCTGTGCCACAGTTTGTGAGTGGGGTCAGAGGACAAATCAGGTGTTGGTTTTCGCCATCTGCTTGAGAAGAACATGTCTTTAAAAGGGTGACTTTTCTGATAATTCCATACATTTAATTAACACAGTTGGGTCATTTTCACTCTCTGCTGCCCTCTCCCCTCCCCGCCCACTCTTATGAACCTCGTCTCTTTCTCAACAAGTCTCCTTCCCACTTCACATCTTTTTTGTTTGTTTGTTTCTGACCTGCCGAGTTTAACAAGGATTGCTTGCACGAGCATTCGTGGGGAGTTATTTACTGGTGCAGGGGCGAGACCACTGAAGAAAGTAAGGAGCCCCTCCTCCTCCAGCAGCTTTGGCGCCTGGTGTACCCGAGCCCTCCCTATTCCTGAGCCCTGTAGACTGACTCACCTTGAGCAGCTCTTGCTCGGAGGGAGTTCGTGAGGGCAGACATTTCACAGCCCTCCCCACCCTCCAGGTCTTCCGTTTTTTCCCCACCCTCTCTTCTGAATGTTCCTTCAGCCTTGGAGCAGGTGACATAGATGTCCTATTTGGGCTGAGCACTCACAGCCACTTGTCCTATGGACATTGACCAGCTGGGAGTCTCTGCATTAATCATTGTCCAGAGCAAAAGAAGCTTCTCCGACCAAGGTTGAGAGCGGCACTAATCTACGCATATGCATATTAATATGCAGAAGGCAGCTGGCTACCATGTCTATTTAGCAACACGGCAGTAGTAGGTTTCCCCTTAGGCCTACGACCCCCCGTAGCATGGGCTGTAGACAAGGGTTACAGTACCAGGCACGAATCCCCTCCCGCCCATAAAACCGGCCTCAAATCCAATCACAAAGTGGTTGGTTAACCACCCAGCAGTCACATCCTCTGTTGTGCCAGAGGGACAGCTTGCCTGGTAGGTGGGCTTTGTAGCAGGCACGGTTCACAGCTGGGTAAGATCACTGATGACTTTTTTCTTCCCCAGCAGTGGATACGGCACCTTCTGGGACTATGAAAACTACCCAGGGGTGAGGAAACTTGCAACTCCGGACTAGGCTGGAATCTCTCACTAAGTAGCGCTGGCTGGCCTAAATAACATGCTCCCTTCCCCTATTGGCCCCCGTGTGTGTATGTGTGTGTGTGTGTGTGCCCCCATGTGTACACGTGTGTGTGTGTGTGTGTGTACGTGTGTGCATGCGGCCTAAATAACATGTTCCCCTCCCTCACTGGTCTCCGTGTGTGTATGTGTGTGTACACGTGTGTGTGCACCCCTCTTCCCCTCGTGTGTGTGCGTGGGGGGAGGGTCGGAGGTCAGGGATAAACCTTGGGTTTCATTCCTCAGGAGCTATTCGCCTTTCTGGTTTTTTTTTTTTTTAGCCTGATTTAATTTTATTTTGTGTGGATGACTGTTCTATTTGCATATACATATGTGTTCGGAGGAGGCCAGAAGAAGGTGTCAGATTCCCTGCAACTGGAGTGACAGGCAGTTGTGAGCCATGTGGATGCTGGGAATGGAACCTGGGCTCTCTGAAAAGGCAGCCAGTCTTAACTCCTGAGCCATCTCTCCTGCCCTTGTTTTATGAGATGTAAGCTTACCAGTTAGGTTAGGCTGTCTGGCCAGGGGGCTCCAGGGCCTATTTTCTCTCAGCTTTCCAGTGCAGGGACTACAAGTGTTTACCACCACAACCTCATTTGCTTTTCTGTTCTTTTGGATGTTTTTATTTTTATGCACATGAGTGTTTTGCTTGCATGCACATAAGTGCACCATGTGTGTTATGCCCAATGAGGCCAGAAAGCAGAGTCAGATCCCCTGGAGTTACAGGCAGTTGTAAACCACCTTGTGGGTGCTGGGACTGAATCTGGGTCGTCTTTGAGAGCAGCAAGTGCTCTCACAAATTGCTGAGCCTTCTCTCCAGCCCCGCACCAGATTTTTGTTTTGTTTTGTGTAGGTGCTAGAGATCAGGTTTTACTAACTGAGCTATTTTCCACTCTGTGCTCTGTTATTGAGCTATATCTTCATCCCCTCATCACCGACTCTGAGGATTTTATTAGAAAATAATGGTGGTTTCTGCATTGATTGAATGGTTAATGTACTTTTAATCTTTCCCTTTATTAATGTGATTGAGATATCAGGTGTACCGATTTGTATAGATTTTAAAATATTTTACATTTGTTTATTTTATATGTGCGCATGTGTATGTGTGTGCTGGTAAGCTTTTGTCCTGTGGGTCCTGGGGATGGAACTCAGGTCTTTAGGCCTAGCAGTAAGTCCCTTTGCCTGCTAAGTCGTCTCTCCCTGCCCTCTTCTATTTTGCTACTGGGAACTGGAGTAGGGGTTTTGTGCATGCTGAATAGCTGCTCTGCCACTAAGTTGTATCCCCAGCCTGAGTGTATACTGTATATATTAAAACATTTTGCAGCCTTGTATATTACCCTTTGATATTGTCTATAATCTTTAAAATTTTAATTTGAGACAAGGTCTCACTATATAGTCCTTGCTGGGACTTAGAATGTAGATCAGGCTGGCATTGAACTCACAGAGGTCAACCAGCCTCTGTCTCTTGAGTTCTGGGATTGAAGGTGTTTGCTACCATGTCTGACTTTTTTTATTTTTTTAAATTAAATTTTTTTTGACATATCAAAGGCTGTGCAGTCATAAATTGGCCTTGAACTGGTGATACTTTTGCTCCTGCCTTAGCCTCTTGAGTACTGGGATTACAGGCATGCACCACCATGTTCGTGGTCTGAGTGAGTGGCTCAGCGCTCGAATGTTGGTTTGGGCAGCATTTGTGAGGGGCTGGATTCAGTCCTTGGTACTGCAGTCTCCTTCAAACAAATAGCAACAAAACCAGCCGGTGACGGTCTCGGGGGCAGCTCAGAGGTGGGACACTTGCTTAGTATGTTTGCAGTCTTGGGTTCTGCAGGACTTAGCAGCAAAACTGTCTACTAGTGGGCTGCATTCCTTCTTTCTATATATAAATATATTCAAAAGTGATTCAGTGTGTGTGTGTGTGTGTGTGTGTATACGTGTGTGTGTTTGTGTGTGTATGTAGGTCAGAGGACAACTTGTGTGAGTCTGTTCTGTCTTTCCACCATGTGGGTCACAGGGATCAAACTCAGGTCAGCAGCACCATTTTGCTGAGCAGGAGTTTTTTCTCGAGAGACTTTTTAATCTGTGATTCAAGCTTCTTATCGGTTAGCTGTCTGCTTAGGTTTTGTATGTCCTCACAATTCCACTGGCAGATTATATGCGTTCAGAAATTTATCCGCTTTCTTCTAGGTTTTCCAGTTCATATTCCTAATGATCCCTGATGACCCTCTGTATTTCACTTGTAGTGTCTTCCTTTCATCTCTGACTTCACTTATTTGGGCTTCTCTTTTTGTCTTATTTAGTCTAGTCCTTGCTAGATACCACAAGCTAACAAAAAGCCCAGTGTTAGGAACGGGTTATGCCTTTTGGAGTTGTTGGCTAGTGAGCAGAGTAGACTTCCCGACATTCCAGGCTATTGCCAATGACATTGGTTGCCTTCAGAATGCGATGGTAGGACACCAGTGCCAAAGACGCGGCATGCAGTGTCAGGGGGTTTCCGTCTCTGCAGGCTAGCTTTCCTAGTGCGGTGTAGGTGGAATTTTCTGTCCCGCCAGTCCACTCTCAAATAACCACACAGACACAGAGACTTAATATTATTTAGAAATGCCTGCCCAGTAGCTTAGGTGTGTTTTTAGCTATCTCTTATAACTTAAATTATCCCATTTCTATTAATCTATGTGCTGCCCTGAGGCTTGTTTCCCTCACCTACAGAGTTCCCATCCCGCTCACTCTCTGTCTCGTGGCTTCCCCTCCGACTCTGCCCTTATTCTTCCTGACATTCTTTCTGCCCCCAAAATCCTGCCTAGCTGTCGGCCAGTCAGCTTTATGTTAACAACGAGGGCAACACATCTTCACAGTGTCCAGAAGGATTATTCCACAGCAGGGCTGGAAGGTGTATGGCATACTCCAGGAGGGGAGAAATAGTGGTCAGTCTTACCCAGCTATGAGCCTGAGAGCAACAGTACAATCTGACTGGCAAGATAAGCCCATGGTACAATAGTGGCACGAGTGTTATAGGAATAACCAGCTACCTTCTGATTGGCTGTAAGCCTGATCTGCAGGGCTAGAGCAATGGCTCAGCAGTTCAGAGTATTTGCTGATCTTCCAGTGGACCCAGGCTTGATTTCCAGAACACACATGGGTGCTCCACAAACAACCGTGTAGGGGATCTGAGGCCTTCTCCTGACCTACATGGGCAGCAGTCACACATGCCGTATACAGACATACATCAAAGCACTCATACACATTTGAAAAAAAAACACCTATCCCATGGCACTGTTATCAGAGCCATGACCTCTGACTGGAGAGACCAATGGCCTTGGGGTGCCCTACTATTATTATTCCGCTAGATGGATATAGCCTTGAACTGACTCCTGAAGACTCACTTCAGATTGACAGATTACATCAGCTCCTTTGCTGCTGTGTTGTCAAAACACCGTGACCAAGGCAAAATATAAATGAAAGCACTTCATCGGACATATGATTTCAGAGAATTACCGTCCATGATGGCTGAGCAAAGGCATGGTAGCAGGAACACCTGAGACCTCACATCTTGATCCAAAAGCAAAGAAATAATTATATGACTGGGGGGGGGTCACCGCAACATGAGGAACTGTATTTAAAGGTCACAGCATCAGGAAGGTTGAAAACCGCTGCCCTGGTCCCTTGTTACAGCCTGGGTGAGCCTAGGACCTTGGAGATTGCTCTGATCCCCAGCTGTGAAGCGCAGACTTTCTGTCAGTTGCAGCAGCAGCAGCGGCGGCGGTGGCGGCAGCAGCAGCAACAGCAGCAGCAGCCCAGCGTGTGCGGGAGTTTTACACCAGTGCAGCTGTTCCCTGGGCTGACCCCTGTTGCACAATTAGCAAAAGCCCAACTCTTATTTTCTCTTCTCTTCCACTCGCTTCATTGCTCTCGTTCCCCAGCTTCTTCCATTCCCCTGCTTTACAACCAACAGTTTCTTACAATTTTCATACCCATGTTTGTGGCAGACACTGATCCCTGCATGGGGATGTTTGTCATGCAAGGCAAGTGTTAGGAAGGCCGGCAGGCACTCTTGGGGAAGGAAGCCTTGTCCCGAGGCCTCAGATGTGACCTGTGGTTTCTCTTGTGTCACTTTCATGTGATCTGGTAGGTCACTGCTGAAACCCCTTTCAATTTTTATTGGTCTCAGGCTCCTTGAATGCGGTATAAAGTAACGTGGCTTGTGTAGAGAGGGTTATTCTCGTAAGTGATATTTTTAAGGTGACTGCATCACTGTAAGCACCAGGCCGCTATTATTTTAACCACTTTTGCTGACATCTTCTTAAAACCAGTGGTGCATTTGCTTGCCTTTGTAATTTGACATTTCTTTTGATGACTCAGGGTTATTACTGCACAGCTTCCCCCTCTTCCCTCCCTTATTTTCAAGACAGGGACTTGCTAAATAACGAAGGGTCATCCTAAACACATCTCATTTTTTTTTCTTTTCTAACTGTGAGGTCTTCTTAGGCCCCTTGGTAGGAAAGAACATTTGCTTCCT